ATCCTCCTGCCTCGGCCTCCCAGAGTGCTAGGATTACAGGCGTGAGCCACTGCGCTCGGCCCCCAGCATCATCTTTTGAAGAGACTTTTCCTTCTCCATTGAATGGTCTGGGCACCCTTGTCAAAAATCAATTGACACAGATGTTCAGTTTTACTTCTGGACTCCCAGTGGTATTCCACTGGTCTATATGTCTGTCTTTATGCCAGTACCATACCGTTTTGATTACTGTAGCTTTGTAGTGAGTTTGGAAGTCAGAAAATGAAAGTATTCTAACATTTTTTCTTTTTCAATATTGTTTTGGCTATTCAGGACCCCTTGCAGTTCCATATGAATTTCAAGATCAGCATTTCCATTTCTGCTAGCAGCGTGTCAGGCAATATGGGAGTTCATAAAGAAGTATGACATGGTTTCTGCTCTCAAGGATTTTCAATCTAGTTGAAGGGATAACATATCCAAAAACTAATTAGAGAATAATTTAGGAGCATATGTAATCACATTCTCAACTATCTGGCTCCTGCACTAAGAAGTAAATTCTCTAAGGGTAGGTCTTTTATGCTGTGCTTACGGTGGTATCAGTAGCCCCTAGAACAGTATAAGAATAACAGGATATGAGCTTAATAGATGAATGTTGAATGGATTCAACACTCTCTGGCTTTAGAGTTTTGCAAGGTGGGGGCTAGCTCTCCCATTTATCCTGAAAGATGATCTCTGTTCTGCGAAGTGGCTCTTAGACAAGACCCATCTGAGAACGCTGGAACTCTCTAACTGGCTCGGGTTACGACCTAACAGTAGGCTCACAGACGCAGCACACATCTTTCAGCAAGTGTTCTGGTGTCTTTCTAAAATAACCTCTTACATAAGTAGATCCTTGTTAAGTTCCACCAAGTAAACTAACTGAGAAGAGGAGTATGAAGGAGGAAGGCTGGCCTAGACGAAAGGAGAAATGCCCCCAGAAACCTCCACACTGACAGCCAGGAAATGGTCTCAGACGCTCTGCATTCCAGGGAAGAAGCTGGTCCCTGAGAAAACGGTTATTTATCTAATCTTTTTTTTCTGATTCCAAGATCATGGTGGAAAATTTGAAAAGCAAATCACAGTAAAAAGAAGAATAAGTTTGTCTGTAAAGCATTGTTTACTGCCACTGAGGTAACCACTGTTCACATTTTTAATAACATATTAAATGTAATTTTACTTGAACTTAATATAATGAAAAGAAACCAAACTTCAGATAAATATTTCTTCAAAATGATCTATTATTTCTTAAGAAGAGTCCTCTAAAATTAAAGAATTAAGAGACATAGTAAGAGGTTGGATTTCTTGCAGTGGTTCTCAACCTGGGGAGATTTTGCCCGCCACCCCCCACTGGAGGTGGGGGACATTTTGGCACTGTCTGGAAACATTTTTGGTTGTCACAACTCAGAGGGAGCAGAGTATTGGTGGGTATAGGCTAGGAATGCTGCTAGACATCTGCATGCACATGACACTCTGCCACAGCATAGAATTAGCCAGCCCCAAATGTTAACAGTGCCACAGTTGAGGAGCCCTGGGTTATTGCATAGTTATTGTGGTTTTAAAACAGCACATATTTTTAAAGGGCCTTAAGTTTGTTTCCAGTTACAAGGATATGGTCATTTTCTCAGGGATCCGTGGAATAAGTGGTTAAGAGCATGACCTCCAGCCAGGCGGTCTGAGTTTGAACCCTGACTCTGCCACTTGCTGGTAAAGTGACCTTGAGCAATTTCTTTGGGCCTCAGTTTCCTCATCTGCAAAATCGCGGTAATGTTAAACCTACTCCAAATAGCTGTAGTGAGGACTGAATGAGCTAATATAAGTAACGTGCTTAGAACAGTGTCCGGTTTATGATCAGCTCTATGGAAATATGTGCGATCATTATTAATGTCTTAAACTAAACTAGGAGCACACATTAAGCCTATTTTCGGGATAAGTCTCCTAAGGAATTTAATAAAGAAAAATAGACCTGAATGTAAATATTTTTTAAAAAGGAAACTTTAAGAAAAACTAACAAAACTCATTCAAAGGAAAATGAATATGGCCAGGGCCCACTTATGAGTCTAAAGAGGATTTGTATGAATTCAGAGGTTCAGTAAGGTTTTCCCACCTTCTGGAATTATCTGATCAGTGGCAGGTGACGTATTCTTTCAGAAAACATTGTTTCACTTTTTCCCTTTAGATTTTAAAAGGTACAGGTAATACCTTTTAAACAGGTATTTTAAACCTTTTGAACAGGTAATACATTATCATAGTTAAAACTCAAAACAATATAACACGATATGCATCAAGCAGTCTGACTCCCATCGCTGTGCCCCCACCTCCCCATAATAATCACCGTAATTAGTTCCATATCTGTCCGGGCAGTATTTCTCTAGAAAAGCAAATACAAATACGACATATTCTTATTTAGACTCTCTTCCTTAGGCAAAAGGTCTGATACTTTTTCACTTAACAATCTATCTTGGAAATCTTTCCATATTAGTACAAAAGGAATTTCTTTGTTTCTTTTTAAGGTGATATAGTATTCTATTATGTGGATGTCCTATCCTTTGCTTGTAAATGTTGGTAATTTTTATAAATATTAATAAATTGCCCTTCCAGTAGAGATGTGTCATTTAGACTCTCACTAGCAATGTGTTTTCCTTCAAGGAAAATAGACATATTCACTGTGTGCAATCAATTGTTCACAATCATACCATACTGGCAGGAGACCCCGAGAGGTAGAAGCGGGAAACAGGTCTTTGTGGATGTTCGGGATTTGTTACGACTGCCTTCCTAGGAACTGGCAGAATCAGCCATTAGCTCAGGGTGGCGTCTGGGCAACTGGGTGATATATTGGGGGAAGTTAGGTTGCATTGGTCCTAGGAGAATCCAACTTGTAATGCCAATAGTAAGACCCAGTAAGGTTGGCATTTTTCTGGACTATGAGTTAGGTGAGGTTTCCTTCTATAGTTTGAATGATTGACTTCTTCTCTGTAATTTTCGTATCTCTTTTACTGAAGCCCTTTGGCCTAATTTCTATGCTGGGGCAGATTCTGATCCTCTTAAAATCTCTTCAGTAATAGATTATGAAAGATGAAGTACCTGGGAAACCACTATGTTTTACTTTCTTTCAGTTTGTAGGTGTAAAGTTAGCCAGTATATTTAGTGTCAGGATTTGTGGCTTCTTTTTACATTTTACCCCACCCAAACCAACATGTATTTCTTTTCTCCCTCATTTTCAGCAGCTTTAAAAACATTGTAGCAATATCAATTTCATGGATGCTATGAATGTCCATTGTCAAATGCTTTAGATAGTCTAAAGAAAATATTTGAGAATTTCATTACTTAACACAACGAATAAGTTTTTTCATTTTTCAAAAAAAAATTTCATACCACATTGCGTACTTCATATTTGGACCCCGACTTTCTCATCTAGCTTCTTATTTTTCCTGGAGTTTCTAATTGTATTTCTTTTTTCTTATTGGTTACGCAGACATTTATCTTCGTCCCATTGACAGCAAGCTGCCGTAGATTTAAATAGCATGAAGAAGAAGCCATAGGCTTTCTACCACACCTCACTAAAAGTCTCGGTTTCCCTAAAATGCTGGGCCCCAACCCCCAACATGCCTCAGTGTGCTACATATACCATTTTCCCAAATACTCATTCCTCCAAGGACCTCAATTCCCCCAGTTCTACCAGATAATTCATTGCTCCCAATATTCTAGCTCCTTGCATGCCCAGTTTTTTATGCTCTTCCCCTGGAACCAAAGGCCACCCCAGTGCCTACCTCCTACACAATGCACATTACCTGGCCCACTCATTCTGGTGTAGCCATCAGACCACCCTGCCCCCATCCCATTTCCTTGCCCAGAAGTGTCGGCCCAGCTGGGCCCCAGTTTTTCAGCTTTGGTTGAACCCTGCAGGTGCTGAACAAGGCCAAGTATGGTCCCATGTGGATATCCTACCTAGGGCCTCGGATGTTTGTGAACCTGGCCAGTGCCCCACTCATGGAGCAAGCGATGCGGCAAGAGGGCAAGTACCCAGTACGCAATGACATGGAGCTGTGGAAGGAGCACCGGGACCTGCACGGTCTGTCCTACGGACCCTTCACCACGTGAGCTGGGGCTGGAAGGGACTGGAACAGAGCTCCAGAGGGCCAGGTCAAAAGACAGTGGGCCAGGGCAGGCATTTGGGTACTGAGCTCAGTGGGATCTCCTGGCATCCTCTGAGCCTGACAGTCTAGAGAGCAGTCGTTGGGATGAGCTGAAGCCCAGGGAGCATTCGTCAGCTTTCCCCCCCCATCTATTGTGTGACTTTGGACAAATGAGTAATTTCCCCTTCCTTGGCCTTAAGTTTCTCATCTGTGCAATAGGAGGTTTGAACTAGGGTGTCTCCAAGGTGTCCCTAGGGCCTTTCCAGCTCCATTTTTCTGCATTATGGTTGAAAATATGTTAACTCAAATCATCATGGAACATACCTGCTTATAGTTGAAAAAATATCATTAGTATATTAGTTGGGAAGGCTCAATTTAGTTTTTTAAAAAGTGTCCCAAGTTATGTATTGTACACTTGTGTTGGTGGTAACTTTCATGTGTGCTCTCCACACACAAAGACAGATATAGGTGTCAGCCTTGAAGTTATGCCTGGAAAAGTTAAAACTATTTTGGCAGTGACAAATTGAAAGATGAACTGAGTATACTATTTGCTCATGTGCCAACAGCAGTAGATAATTGGGAATCGTTGGCAATAAACCACTCCCAATGCTATAGGGTATAACTGGGTATGTCACAGCCTTCTTTTCGTTCTAGGATGTTAACAGAACTGTAAAAACAGTAAATGGCTCCCCAAACTTCCCAGTTACTCAACATCTATGGTTTAGTCACTTCTTAAGGGATTAAAATTGATTCTGGTGGCAGTGGTGGCGGCCACCACGATGATACTCACTATGTGTGTATGACGTGTCAGGCATCAGGCTAGTCTCTTTATATTTATGATTTCATTCCATCCTCACTACAAGCCCATGAACTGGACAGTATTGTTATCCCTGTTTTAGAGAAGAAGAAACCGAGGGCCAGAGAGGTTTTGCATCACGTGTCAAGGATGACACAACCAGCAAATGGTGGAATAGATCTCTCTCATTCCGGAACTTAAGAACTTATGACCTTGACACATTGGTGTTCTTTATTTATTTATTTATTTATTTTGTTTGAGATAGGGTTTCATTCTTGACACTTTTGGAAAGAAAGTGAACAGTTTGGAGGGTTCCTTTTAGCTGTCTTTGCTGCTCATACATTCATTCTCCCATTGCATGTTTTTCTTTCTTTTTCCTGGTTCCTTTCCAGGGAGACAGTTTCAGAACTAAAATAATAATTTTTTTATTCAAAGTTCTGAGAACAAAGTAGAGAATGTCTGCTCTTCAAGACCACTGTAACTTGACATCTGATCCCGAGGGCAAGGTTTAGGTGCCAGAATTTCACTGGACCAGGACACTTTCGACTTGACAGCTCAGATTGAGAATTGGAG